GGATCTGTGAATTTTAGTAGGCTTTATTAGTGGCTAAGAGTTGTTTCTGGAATTATGCAAACGATGTTCTGCAATTATCTTCCGCAATTAATTACTCGGCAATAAAGTGAATTATTATGCATTTTCTGTGTTGTGCCATAAAATGTCTGTTGGAATCGGATGTTAATACAAGAAAGGACAAATGCTTCAAGAGTAAAGGTTAGCGCACTCGTCTGGAAAGCGTGAGGGGTAGGTTCGAGCCCCGCCTGGGGTCAAGACTTTTGCCCATAACTCAGAATTCTTATGTTAATCTTAAGAGTAAGTTGCCAGTGTGTGGACAGGTAATGTAATTGCAAGTTGATTTGTCAGGCCAAAACGGCTGGGGACTCATTGCATGTTTGGGAAGATTTAGTGTCACCTAGCGTGCTCTAGCGGAAACTTAGTGACCTGTGGACAACCGCCATCTGTTCATCTGAAAGGTTTTGTTGAAGTTTGCGAAATTTCTCTTTCCAGCTGCGTTCGTACTCATTGCCTGTGAAGCTCTCGTCTTTCGGATGTCTTTTAAATTTTTGAAAAGCCCAGTTCGGCTTGGTGGAATCACCAAATGATACTCAGTAGCTAGTTCAGGTTCAACTTGAGGAGACCTGTAAATTCTTGTAGTGGCTCAAGATGATTTCGTATAGCCTTAACAGGAGTTTACAGCGTCCACTCCAGCGGTTCACCTGTTAAACTACAATGGCAACGCTAGCGAAAGTGCATGCTCCTCCCAAGTCGAACAGTGCCTTCTGGAAATTCCGTAATCGCTGTTGTAATGTCGCTCATCAAGTGCCCTACGGGTGTTTTGAAAGGACCATTATTTCATTCCTAAATAGTGAATGCGGCTGTTTTGAATCAAGACTAGCAAAAAATTTCAGGTAAGTAAAATAAAATTCGGATACAGCAGTAAGTATATCAGCTGCATGTCCTGGCCTGGTCCAAGTGATCCCAGTGACTGTCAGATACATAATGGCGCAACGAGAAACTTTGGCCTGACAGTGCCAAATGGACATCCCAAGAAGCATAAAACGGCGGAAAGGTTAAAGGTTAGTTGGAAAGGCTCAAACGTTACAGAAAGGTTTCTTAGTTCTGCCAGTTCTTCAGCTCACTGCTTGTTATGAACACGTCCTCAGCCAGAACATTTTTTTCTTGTCATTCGACTGGTTCAGGATAGAGAAAAAATGGGGATCGAAGAGCCGGAAGCGAAGGGAAAAAACAAGGCAGGATTAAAGTGGGGAAGGCTTAGAGGCTCTTTGCGGCACTTGTGCAGTTCTACAGAGTAGTCCGCCGCACGATCGCCTCAGAAAGCGAAGTGCGATTTCACCCTTTTTCCCCACCTTGTGTGAGCCGATTATCTTATTCCGAAAACATCCGAAGCGCGTCTGGCAACAAAAACTTCACGCGTAGCTCACCAATGCCTTTTCTGCTTGCTCTCCAGTTATTCCATCGGAATGGCTCGTGAGTGGAGGCGTATGAGGGAATGACGGAATGAGAAAACAGTTACTGAACCTTGAGCAAGGTTCGATCCTCTGAGAATGACCCCTCTAGTCAAAAAAGGCACCCCATGGCATGTGTTATGAGAATCCATTGATTTTTGCAAGTCTGGAACTTCTGGAATAGAAAGCTGGTTAGTGGCTGTGGAGCAAGGTTCTCTCCATGAAAACCGGGTACCACAGAGGTACCGACCTGCTTAGAGAGGGTCCAGTTGTAATTTGACTATTCTTTTTGAATCTTCCACTAAAAGGCTGTTGCATGAAATTACAATCCTAAAATGCCAGTTTTTTTCAGGCAATGGCTAGTGACACGACGCAGGATGAAAGAAATTTGCTACCCATTAGGGGATTTACTGGTGCGCGGCGTAGCATTATCTGGTCACATTGCGCCTCTGTTGGTCAAAACACTTTTATGTAATTCGAACCAATTTTGCATCGAAGAAGTGAGGTCTGTCCCGTCTAGAATATGACTGCGATTTACCAAATCTGGAATACATTAGCATGTTAATATCACGGTTACGTGTTGCAAGATCTCGTCCAACAACGAATGGAAGTAAAGATCCACTCACGCTACTTCCATCACATATTGTGCTTCGTATTATGGCTTATCTAGACCCAGGTTTGTCCTTTTTACTTCCTAGTCTAGATATCTCGTGCAGTTCGGCTTGGCTTCGTAAAACTTGTTATTCGACATGAACAAAAGCAATTAGCAGGGAGTACACCCCTCCAAGCCGAACTGGTTCGTATACCTGGGTGCCGTTACTCGGGAACTGGGTCGAGTCACTAGTCTCGCAGGTGAAAATCACAGCCCAAATACTGATACTATACCAATGCTATAATACCGACCCCCCCCCTCTCCCGGCGACCAAATACGACCTCCCTGTTAAGGAATCCCCAACAACGATATGCTTGGTTCCGAGTGCACGGCAGCCGGCAGATTTTCAGCAATCGCCCCAAAAAAGCTCAAAACTACCCGCGAAAACTCTCAAAGCAATGGAACGTCACCAACACTTTGCTAACTCTCAAAACGCTGCCGTACTCTGTGACTGTTATGTTATGATTATGACTGTTTCGGCTCATTTCGAATGACAACAAAGATTAGGGGAGCACTACATGCTCTCATCTGACCTATGCTAGATAAGAACTGACAACATGAAATTTCGCCGCTTATGAATCCTCATTTGGGGTGTGGAAGGAACTCCGCTTTCCTTTCAGAATCGCAGTATCCTGGTAGGGCTTATGCAGTGACTTGCAAGCCAATTAGTGTTTTTATCTTCTCACCCCAGTACGGTTGCTTGGCTCCGAAAGCAGGGAACAGCATCGTTGTGTGGAACACATGGGATATCGTATTTGGGAGAGGGGGTAGTAGCTTTCGGAGAAAAACTGGAAATGTGGGAAATCCTGGAAAAGGTGGTGGGCTGGGCTGGTGGGAAGCTGGGAATTGAACTTGTAGGAGGAAGTGGTACGTAGGTGTTTGGGAAGGGAGGGGGTCGTACCGAGGCCTTCCCTTGAGGGGCGAGGGTCGTACCGGCACCACCATTTCACACATCACGATGCTACACCCTGTCTGAGAGATTAAAGGCTCGGCTATCTTAGGCAGACGACTAAACAGGATTCGACCCTGGACCTCGGCGCGTAGTAGGTGGCATCACTAGCCTTTGCGCTGGCTTGATCCAGCATGGAGACTGCATACGGCGGAGGGGAAACTCACGTTCAACTCCCATGTCATGATTTTCGGAGGAAGTTAGCTGTGATAAAGCAAGGCAACGTTCCTTCAGATTCGAAATGGATAGGGAGTCGTTATAATCCTGAAATCACAAACCCTTCAGTCTCTGTAGGAATTCCCATGACACTTAGGGAAACCTCACCCTTATGAAGAACTCCGTGAAAAGCCTGTTGTGTGATGGTAATAACGACGATGGACTGACAATATTATCGACTTCAATATTCCAGCGAGAAAAGAATCGACGAGGCACTGGTGGTCGAGGACCATCACCGATTTCTAAGCGATCGTCTGCACGCGCAACTCGAACAGCTTGCGATTCTTCAGCAAAGGCTAAGACATTCTGGAAAGAGGATTCATAGCCTAGAAAAATGCAGAAGCGATCATTCACAGCAGTTAGAAGTGTTAATCGTACCAGATTTTCTT